ACATGGATATAGTGGTAGTATAGTCAATATCATGCTAGGACTTTCTAGCAGTAAATAATCCAATCCTAATTAACTTAATATAGGGCTCTATATTCTTTTGATGAGTGGGCTATATATCAGAAGTGGGCTTGTGATGATGTGGGGGAGGGATCACTTAGATGACTTCACAGGATAGTTAAACATATTAGTGTTCTCTAAACAATAGTGTATGACATTAGTATCAAATAATCTAAACCCCTCTAATAATCTATTGGCTATATCCATAAGAAGTACATCACACCAAACATAATCCTTGTAACTTCTCATTTTAATGGGCATCATGCACCTACTAGTAATTGGGAGGGATGTGTGGTTCACCCAACTCACATGAAATGCTCTGAATGGAGTTTACATTTTAAATTTGCTCTTTGAAGTGTATGGATTGATATCACATTCATTGCAGTGCTTCTATTAATTGCTAATCAACATCTATTCTTGCATATGACATACACGTTAAATATGTTTCTCCTCCAATCTTTATTTTTTTTTTCAATAAATAAACACCTTATCACATTCAGATGTGACTTATTACTCTCTCTTATGTAATGATCAGACAAGAGTGTCATCAATAATCTTCTCAATATCATCATTCTCCTAATCATTTCCCTCCTCTAGAAATAATATTTGGGCTTCACACTAATGTTTCAGATGCCCTTTTTATGAAATTTAAAACAGATGATCTCCCTTTTAGTTTTAGAGATGGACTTAGTACTCGTCTTCGTGCCTTGATGACTAATTGTAGGGGAAATAAGTTTATCAGTAGACTTCTAGGTTGAGAATGTAGTGGTATGGATTTTAGTCTTAATGAGGGGTGTAAATTTCTTTTAAATTTCGATGGGGAGGGAACAATCGAATCTATTCTCAATGGTCTAAGGATCATATAGCTCTACCTCATTTTCAATCTCCATTCTAATGCCAAATACATTAATTGACAAGTTACCAATCAACATCAATACAACTAATCCGAGCCACAAAATCCTCTAATGTATTTAGGTACTAAGTGACCTGCATACTCCCTTGAGAGTCATCAATTTCTTATGAAGCTTTATATCATGATGTTTTGGGAAGTATTTTGACTTTAATGACTCCTTCATGTCCACCCATTTGATGACTAGTTTTTCTAATGTCTTTGTTGGCTAAGATATTTGACTAATAGATTTTGATTTGGCCACCATTTTAACAAACGCGACCCGTTGATAGTCATCCATTTAGTACCATTAAAAAACTCATCCATCTGAGGGCCAATCTAGAAATATATTATGGTCATAAACCCCATCAAATGTTAGGGTCTCTATTTTGATTTTTTTTGGTAGGATCATTAAAATCATCTTCATTTCTTTACTGACTTTCTAGCAAAAAGTTATTCTTATTATCTTAGTTGATTCTGATTTGTTGGTTCTCTTCTATATGATAATTTCTAAGAGATATGGGTTGGGGTTTGCAATCTAAGATTCACTTGGTTAATTGGTGTTATCACGGTTTCTAGTAAGTTTGCATCTCGTCATTATTTTTCTCTAATAAAGTTTGCACTTGCATGGTCAATTGCTCTAGCATATAGGTCCTCTGGTTGAGCTCTTAAACATCGATTAAAAAAGCGGTCGAGGCGTCTGAACAGAGGCGCGACTCAGTTTGAGGCGCTAACCCGGCGCCTTGAGGCTTAAGCCTCAATGTATTTGACGAGGCGTGCAATTTTTTTCAGCGAGCTGTACGCGTCGAGGCGTAACGCCTCGAGGCAGCATGAGGCGACGCCTCATTAGGATTTGACGGAGCTCACAGCGAAGAACAAATTCCTTATCTTTCGAGCGCGCTGCTTTCGCTTCGTCCCTTTTGAGAGCTGCTTCGTGTTCGATCACAAGTGAGTTCTTCGATCCGGCAGGAGTGCTCGGGAACGATTTTTCTTCCTGTTCGACCACTGGTTTGAGTTCTTCACGCTTTGTGTGAAGTCGGAGCTCGAACCGAAGGTAACACTTCAAGTACCGCTCAGTACCGAGTGGTACATGCTCGGTACCACTAGCCACATGCTCGGTACCGAGCCAGGTCGAACTCAGCCAAGGGGAAGCGCCCCCTTGGACCCCTGGCAGACCGATATATTGTTGTATTCATGTTATTTTATTATTGGTAGTACAAATAATTGTTAAAACAAATCTTCAAATTCATAATTGGCATAATATTTTGTTATTTTTTGTCATTGTTTATAATTTTAAATTAATTTATTTTAATCGTTTTGAGGCTTACGCCTCGATCCCCCTCGAGGCTTACGTCTCGCCTCACATAGAAAAAAATGCCTCGATTCCCGATTTCGCCTTTTAAAACCTTGCTCTTAAATTACTCCTTATTTGTTGATTTTGGTGGCATGCTATGTAGGTGAGTAATCAATATAGATAGCATAATTGTGCAAGCATTTTATAATGTAAGTGTTGTGGTGTGTGCTTTCTATAATACGATGATATGTGTCACGAAAATCCACATAATTTATTTTATGGTCGGCCTACATATATTTTTAAGTATCAAATTGAAACTACTTAATAGAAGAGTGTTCACTTTCTGATAAGCTAGCTCAAGCAATATATTATAATTTGGGATTTTATAAGTGGTCGATTTTAGAGATGAAAAACTCTAAATTATAGTGTGAAACTCACATACTGAAATTTGGAGTCACTCAAGTAATATTCTAATGGTAGGTTAAGAAAAATGGCAAGGTTATATTGTGGAGGCAACAATTGGATTGATGACATTATTTTCATGGAATTATCAATAAACAAAGCAAACCTACTACCTAAGCATGAAGAGACATGCCATTAAAAAGAAATAAACATATAAAAGAAAATTACCCCAATACAAATGAAGAAAGTATCCTTGTGCAAGTGTCGCAACCAATGAATTGTTATTCTCTCCACTTTTGATTTATTGTGAAACCAATTTGATGGAGCCTTCAAATTAAATGCTTGCAAGGGCTTATAGTTACTGTAGATGTGTTCCAATATACTTCAGAATTCCTAGATTCGAGTTTTGGAGAGTAGTTTCAAGTAGTGTTGGCTAAGGATGTTAAACCCTATTTGACCAAGGGCATATTGGAGTATTTTGGCGATGCTAGGGTTTACATATGGAGGAATTAATGGACTTGCAAAACTTGTAGATGGTGGAAGAATGTTAAATGATTGATTTGGACTTGGGTGAAACTTTTCAAAACTTTTTAGTTGTTTAGATGAAGCCAAAAATCGAGATTAGGACCTTTAAACCTAGTTTAGGATGACAACAAATATGATGACTTTGAACAACTGAGGTTTTAAAAGGGAAGTTTTTTGTATTTAAAACCATTTTGAGATTGTCAATGGATGTTGGTAGAGTATATTTGAAGTTTTTCTGAAATTTTACTAGAGATTTTGATGGTTCAAAAGAGTGCAAAGTTGAGAATAGGCATTCTTAACCTGCTCTTGGCCGACTTTATTAAATATGGCATATCTTCCATTTTTTTTTCCGAAGGACTAGTCGAGTATCAGACATGGGATATTATGGGAGATATAAGAAAATATTAGGTTAAATTTATTCAGGACTTGTAGAAAAAAAAAATTGCAAAAATTATTTCCTCACCGAAGGAAAGCCTCTCAAACACCAAAGAGAAGCAAATCATTTCACCAACAAGTTCTATATTTCATTCAAACCATCATTAATTGTTCTTACAGCTGGGAATCACATCTAAATACATTTTCTTATTTGAATTACATTTGTTTCTAGGAGATAGTTATCACATTTATTGTGGAGTGGTTTGGTCCCTCCATTTGAGAGGAGTGGAATGAGGTGGCACTTAGTGGCTGAATTACCATGTCGATTTCTCAATGGACGTCCCTTGACCCATGTAGCCTCTTATATTAACCTCCAAGTTAATCGACCACCAAATGCAACAAGTAAATAATTAGCAGAGTCGACCACTTCCACTATTTCTTCTTTCTTTTCTCCAACATATCTATTTTCTGCATACTGTCCTTGGAAATTAAATGACCACCATTGCATATTTTTTTGATACATAATACAACTACAAGATAACACAATAAATGATAACATACGAGCACACAAGGTTCTCTCTTTATATCGCCTAACACAATTTATAATTACTTTAAAACTTGGCTAGCAAAGTTATTACATAATCATAGATCTAATAATTGTCCTACAATACCCTGCATCAATACTTTTTACAATTGCATTTTTATTTTGGAAGTTCTCTTTATATCTGTCCTGTAGTTCAGTTATTTGGTGATTTGTTTCATTTTTTGTCTTTCTATTCTCCAATTTGGATTGCTTATTTTAAGAAAGGTAGAGGTAGCCTAAAAAGACTAGGTTAGAAAATATTAGAAATGACCTTTTTTATTAGATTTAAACGAGAATTTGACTTTTAACAAACATAATGGAGAAAAAAGATTCATGTAGCTGATCCCATGTAGTGGGACAAAGGCTTGATGTTGTTGTTGTATGTTTCTAATTTTTTGAGTTTAAGACTTCGTTTGAGATAGCTTTCTTACTGTTTTTTTAGTTGGCTTTTTAGTATAATGTTTTTTTTGGTACTAGAGGGCTACTTCATAAAGTAGCAAAAAAAGGTGCCAAACGAAGCCTAAGTCAAACATATGATTTTTTTAATGCTCCAAAATTTCTATGCAAAATTTCTATTGGAAGACCACTAATTTATCATGCGGAGATTTTCGCTCAGTTCTAATTTACGTCTATTTTGATGAATAGCAATCTAAATTAGAAATTTGGAGCTATGAATTTGAATTTGTGTATGATTTTATACATCTCATTTTAGATATGTATTAAAAAATCTAAGCTCCATACGTTATTGCATCACAAGAGTTTAAAGATCTCATTTTAGATATCCAAATGCTTTTGCTCCTGTTTTGATCTGCTTTATCTTCCTAAATCACTTCTTGTTCTTTAAGAACTTGTTTTGCTCTGCCTTGTTCTTGCAGGGAATGAAGTACGTTTGGTGAATCTGTATGATTTTGTGCAAACGCTAGTTCTGGAAGGTCTTCATTTTACTGCGTAGATAACTGAGAAAATGGAACACTTTTATAAGGCTTAATTGTTACCCTAAACGGAAGCTTGGAAATGATTAGGAATACTACCTATTCCAGTAATCTACTTTGGCTCATAGTGTTTTCTTCTGCTCTGTTTGGATTCATCTACATTCACTTGAAAGAGTTTCAGCTTTTCTTTACAGTTGCTTCTCTTGCTTATAAAAGTGGCTACGGTAATTTTGTATTTCTTTTGATCATCGTGACCAACTTACTGCACTCTAAATTTCCTGATTCAGACCTGCATTGCAAAACTAATAGGCTTTGTTTGGAACGGTTTTTTTACTGCTTCTTAATGCAATTTTTCAGTATCAAAATTAAAATTTATGTAATAAAAAATTACTTTAAGAAGTAGTAAGAAAGTCGTCCCAAATCAAGTTCTAGGGTTCGTTTGGGACGGCTTTTTTATTGCTTTCTAAAACGGAGTTTTAGTACAAATTTTTTTATTTTTGTCCCTAATCTTCTACCAAAAGCTAGTGTTGAACAGTAATTCAAAAGTAATTTTTTTGAACATTGCCATCTTGATGGCAAGAATTGTTGTTTATCCTATGTACCGCATACTATTTAAATGTGTGAAGGTTTAAGAGCTGGTTTGGGATCATTTTGATTTTCAAATTTTATGTTAATTTTATTTATATTTTATATGAAATATAATATGTTTAATTTTTTTAAACATTATTATTTTATTTTTGTTAATATTAAATAAGTGACAACAATTGCTAGCATGATAGCTGTAGTCATTGATGAGCAATGGTTAAAATGTGTGAGAAGTGGTTAGTTTTTGGTCAAATTTTCGTAACAAGCTTCTTTTGTGTGACATTTAAGGGAAGGAGCAGCTTTTAAAAAAATTTTAAGAAGCATCAAATGTGCTAGAATGATAGGCGTATTCAAATAATACGCCATATTAGTTGGCGCATTCTTTGAAAGTGTGAATCAGTTTGGCGTGTTCTGGGCAATACGCGTGATATGCCGGCGTATTCCTCTCAATTCATTATTTTACCAGGTTTTCAGTCCGTATAATCAGGTAAAGCCATTATTTCCATTAGTTGCTATTTGATTTTTCTTGTTTTCAGGTGAACATGGTTTTCAGTTGGAGTGATTTTTTTTGGGAAAATTCAGTTGGAATGATAACGTTTAAAAAGAAGAGAAATAGAAGCTTTATTTTGTCTCGTTTTGTGTTGAGGTATTACTATATTTTATGTTTTAAATTAGGTTTGATTAAATAAAAATAAATTCTTGCACAAATTGTAGAGTTTTCCATTTATAATAAAGTATGAAGAAAATGTTGATACGTTCTATCATGTAAGTTAGTTTCTTTGCAAAAGTATGGAGAGTTTATCATCTTAATTTTACACGTATAAATTTAAAAAAATATATGCAACAATCATAGTAAGAAGAAAATTATGTGAAATCAACTTGTTGAGATAATTGTTGAAAAATTAAAATTTGTTATCTCATCATTTAAATAATTAATTATTTCTTAAAAGATAATAAAAATGTAGAACTTTTATGTATTTGTTTTTCCCTGATTGAAAAAAGAATTAGATTTCATAATTTAACGGCATTATTTAATGGCCAAAACTTCGAAACAAGCATCGTAACTGCGATATTTAAAGATTCAAGCAGTATTTTTAAAAAAATTAAAAAATATTCGAGCATATTTTATATTTAAATCTAAAATAGAACTAGCTAATAATTTTATAAACCAACAAAGAAATATATCCCACAAAAACTGCGGAGCTTAAAACTACTTCACAATACATAATTTTTTAAATAAATGTACACAAGTTTTACATCACAACCAAATAAACTATGAAATAAATTAAAAAGAAAAAAAAAATTAAACATACCTCACCTATCTCTCTTCGGATGAACACAGCGGTAGCAAGAAATACAACAAACAACTGAAGAAGCTTATGATTTCCGCTCAGCTCTTCTGCTCCTATTTATAATTGAAATCTGCATGGCATCTTCTTAACCCACTCCCTAAACGTCCAACCAACCGCAATAATTTGCATTTTAATTTCCGCACCGGTCCGCGGAATTCGTGGATCTGGTATCCGCTAAAATCCAAAAAATCAAATCAGACAGCCAACCCAACCGAATTCGTGAAGAATGCGCTGGGCTGGTTGGCGCATTCTCAAGAATGCGCCGAACCATTAAGCGCATTCAAGAATGCTCTTAATGGTTCAGCGCATTCTTGAGACTACGCCGAACAAATTAGCGCATTTACACTGCGCTAGTTGCTTTAGCGTCTTAGCTCGTATTCAAATTTTTTCATAAATCTACTTCTTCCACGAAAATCCATTTGCATCATGCTGCTTCCGAAAATTTTGCCTTAGTTTTTTGTGAGGAAGGAACGTGTGAAGGGGGAACTATTGCTTTGCTTTTGGCGTTGGTTGGTTAGAGCTTGTTACTGTGATTTAGGATGCTTGATTTGTTGCAAAAAGAATATATAGAGTAAAATGGAATATATTGAAATATAAATGTAATGTAATTGAAATTTTAGGAGTTTTTTGAATAAATATAAAATAATGTAAGTGATTAATTTTTTTTTTGCTTGACATGAAGTAAAATGAATGTAGTGTAAAATTCAATGATTATATTGATTGATGACCAATAGTGATGGTAGATGTAGTGGATAGTGGCTAGCGAGTGACAACGTATTTAACAATGGCCAGCTATTGCTAGTGGTCTACGGTGAGTATGGGTGGCATCTGACAACAGTGATACTAAGTAATTGAGCAATGGTAATGGCTAGCGGTTATAACAAAGTTAACTAACAGTGTATTTTAAAATTTGACTGAAAATAGATGAGTTCATAAAAAATTTTAAATCCCTTATATTTGGAATATTTTGCCTTTTATTTTTTTTAAGCAACCCAAATAGCCCCTTGAAGTAGCTTAAGCTAAAATATTCTTCCAAATTTTCAGGTCATATGCTTAGAAATATAAGCGTTGGGTGAATGTGCTGGTCTAGCAACCCCCCAGTTGAACGACGGTCTCTATCAAGAGAGATTATTGCGTCCGGATATTGAACGTGTCCAGAGATCAATAAAAAAGCGTTACATTATTGGGCGCTCGGTACCGTGCTCGGTACCATACGGTACCCTCAGTACGCTGTCCGGATAGAATAATTTTTCCCCTACCAAACCCTTTCATACACAATCCTCTTGTTGCGTCTTGGAGTATTCGCGGTGGTAGAGAAATATATAATTTAACGTCTTAACTTTGTACGAAAATCCAGCACACAATCAGATAAAAAGAGAGGGTGTAACATTTATGAGAGTCAAATATTTTTATGTGAAAAACCCTTGAAAAAAGAGGGAAAAAAAGGGGCCTAACCCAGTTTGAATGAATCCACTAGTATTGCAGTTGATTACAAATGAGGCCCTTCCTTGGGGGAAGGTCTTAACTTGATGTACATCTTCTAGAGTACATTACATGATGAGAATACAAAGAATTACTGCTGATGTGTTTGTTTGGTTTGAAGGACTGTAGTTCGTGGGCGAAATAAGTCGAAAGATCATAGTTGACAGGCGACGAGGCCGGGGAGAACTCAAACGTTACTTGAAAGTCGGGCGGAATTCCAGCGTCACTTAGAGATCGGGTGGAATTGCAGCGTCACTTTGAAGTCGAGTGGAATTCCGACGTCACTTTTGAAGTCAGATAGAATTCCAGCGTCCTGTGGAAGTCGGACAGAATCCCGGCGTCCTGTGAAAGTAGGGCATAATTCCGGAGTCAATGCGAAAGTCGGACAGAATTCCGGTGTCCAGTGGAAGTCAAACAGAATTCCGGCGGTGGTCGAGGAGTTTCTTCCCTCCTATCATTCTCCTCTTCTCTTCTCCTTCTTCTCTCCTTCTTCTCTTCTTCTTCTCTTCTTACTGGGGTCCTCCCCCCTCTTAAGAGAAATGAAGAGCTATTTCTAGTTTTTAGAGGGTGGCATGACCCGTAAATAGGAGGAAGATTAGGGGCGAATCGGGAGTGGTTTGAATGGACGCCCGATATTGAATCCCTTGATCGTGGACCGTTCGTCAGACATTTGAAGGTCTTAATGATATCAGAATTCGGCGATCTTGGGCTCGTTGGATTCGTCTTGTCGAGCCACTTGATCTGACTATATGCATGTCATATTTGGAAACTGTTTGATAAGCCAAATTATGGATTGAGCCTTCCAAATGTGCTTCGGGTCTTCGATTTGGACACATTTGGGCTCGTATCAAGTTGAATTTGGTGTCGTTGGCTTTGAATTTCCGAGATTCTCAGTTTGACTGTAAGTTTGCTGAAATCGATGTTCAGATGATCCCAAATTTAATTTTTGAAGTTTCCAACTTGATTTCTGCCTTGAGATTCATGGCCGGTTAAGATAATTAACTGATGACACGTCACCTATATATATATATGTATATATATGTATATATATGTATATATATGTATATATATATATTGGAAAAGACACCCAAATCGGAATAATAGGCGACTCAACATTAACATCAAACGAAGGCGACCACTTAATCAACCTCATGTAACAATTATTGATAAAATAGGAGCGGTGAGCAAAGACACGACAATAATCCAAATCGTTCACAAGCTTGATTAAAACATTCTTTGGATTAAGAACAGTTACAGAAAAATCACCGATGAGCTTAAGGTTGAAAAAAAATTTGCGAATAGCTTCGAGGGATGGACGATGGTTAGGAAATTTCCCAACCAAAGCGAAATCAAAAGGCTTAGCAAGTGCAAAAATTTGGGCCTCTGAAATCCACAAAGAGGGCAAACCACGAAAAGTACAGATTTTCAGGTCAGGAAAAGAGGAAGAAATGCCAGATAAAGCCTCACGGAAAGATCTAGAAGAGGTGTTACCATCCAAAAAACCCGGATCAACTAATCTTTTACCGGCCATGAGCACAAATAACTCAAGAAACCAAAGAGAAGGGTGAGAAAATACCCAAAAATGAGTCAAATAGGCGGAGAGACGGCGGGCGGCCGGAATCCACGCGCCGAAGAGGCGCTAGGGCGGCAGCAAAGCGCCAAACGGAGAGGCGGAGAGAGGATCTCGTCCGAGCCAAGGGAGAAGGGCCGTAAAAAGTAGTTTAAATATATTGGAATTAATACATACTGATATTTGTGGCTCATTCCTTACAACTTCTTAGAATGATCGACAGTATTTTATTAATTTTATATATGATTATTCTCGTTATGGGTACTTATACTTAATACATGAAAAATCAAAATCCCTGTATGTATTTAAGATCTCTAAAGTTGAAGTTGTAACTCAATTTGGTGAGAAGATTAAAGTTGTCAAAACTGATCGTGGTGATGAATACTATGTTATATATGATGGATCAGATGAACAATTTCAATGCCTTTTTGCAAGATATTTAGCAAAATGTGGCATTGTTCCTCAATACATCATGCTAAGGACTCCAAGTCAAAATGTATAGCTGAGAGACAAAATATAACCTTAAAGATATAGTTAGAAGTATGATTAATCATTGCCATAATTTCATTAGTGAGAAGCCTTATAGACTACAGTTTATACTCTTAATAGAGTTCCACGCAAAGCAGTAGCTAAAACCCCTAAGCTGGTTTTCCTCAGTTGAGCTGTTGGTTGACTCTTTGTGATTTTCTTGCTTTTCTTTTTGTTTGTTGTATTAGTTGGATCATAGAATCATTAGATTTTGTTTTAAATAATGTATTTTTAAAGAGCTCTTTATCTTTATTAACACGTAATCCCTCCGTGAGTTTCATCCAAAAAAAAAAAAAGAATGTTTGGTTTACCCATGTTTGATTAAAAAATGTTCAAACATCATTCTAATAACGCGTCATTCAAGAAAATATTATCCAAAATTCAAGAAAATATCAAAATATATAAGATCAACTCAGGATAATTCAATATATGAAATAACAAAATATCCATTAATGTGCTTCAAATATTTCTCCTGCAAATATCAAAATGCTAACTATACAAAGAAACATAAAGTAGTTTACAAAATCTAAAAGAACGAATTGCAAGTTATTACAATTCTCTCTCTAATTTCCATACAATTAGTAGAAAAGAAAAAAAAAAACTCAATTTGTGCATCAGAATAAAATCTATCTATTCTTGAGCTGATTATGCTTCTATTCTACAATTCTACCCTTCAGAGGGCAGATCTCAAAGAATGATAAAATTGAATATATGAATGAATATGCTTTTCTAAAGGGTGGAGTTAGTCACCACAACTGGAATTGAAGATGGCAAATCCAAGACATGTTTTTTCTTTCCAAGCAGGAAAAAACTCACCATTGGCTTCACTTCCTCACCAACTTTAACTGCAACCCAGAACAAGAACCTATAAGCCACCACCATCCCAATTAAGATGGCAAGATCAACCCACTTTGAATAACCAACCTCCATTTGCCAATAATCCTTCAAAACCTCTTCCCCCGAAATTGATGAATTTCCACCTCCATTGCCACTAAAATTTAGCCCCAAAAATTCATTTTTGTAGTATCCTTGATTTGCGTATTTATGAAAGGCAATATAGTAGAGTGGGTACTTCCATATCGGCTTCGGCAAGTCACCGGGCAGACGGAAGAAGCCACAGGCAAGGACCATCATCGCTTGTATGGTGGCGCCAGTAATGATGCCCATTAGGTAGTCGGGGACGATGCTTGCGACTATCATCATGAGGCCCTCGACGATAAGCATGCTCGAGTAGAGTATAAGAGTGAAGAATATGAAATGTTGCGGGCCTCTCTGTAGACCGACCATGTAGTAGGCAATAGCAGCAGGAAGGACGGAGATCAGAAATATAAATGGCGCAGAGGAGAGCATGTTTGCAATGGTGAATGCAACAGGTTTGTAATGCCCATTTAATCTCTCTCGACGAAAGATCTATTAAAAGGAAAAACTTGTTAGAATCATGAACTATGAATCAAAGCGAATCAAAATGTTTCTTCAATTACTTCTTTTTCTACACTGTGATATTAAGGCTATGTAATTAATTTACCATAGCTTTATAATCATTTTCAATAGCTCAATTATACACATGACTCATAGATTATCATATAAAATTATTATGAGGAAGAAACAAAAAATAAATAAGATAATAGTAAGACTTTACTGACCTTAAGATCCTCCACAAAAGAAGGAAACCCTCCAATCGCCATGAAAGTAAGATATCCAGCTACGAACATGAGCATTGAACCTCTGGCCTGAAATGCATCATAACATGGACAAAGTTTCACTTTGCAGAACACTTTTGAATAGAGAAATAATAATAATGGTACCTCCTAACCTGAATTGATTCATAATTAAATCCAATATCATAGAAGATTGTTCCAATGCTAAGGCAAATAGCAAAATATATAGCTAGTCTCAGCCAATAATAGCCTGGGTCTCTATACATGTTCACAAATGACCTCTTTGTGAGCACACAACATTGAGTGAAGAAGGGAGCTTGACTTCCCCTCTTCACTATTTCTCCTTTCTACAAAAGAAAAACAAAATAAGATGGCAAATTGATATAGTTTTATGGGTCATGATGCATGTAAAGGCAAATATTACTGCATAACTTACCATGTTGCTGCTTTGAGCTACTTGCCTCAACACTTGTTGAAAAATACTCGAAGATTTATATGATCTTTCAAGTATGTTTATTGCATCTGAAGTAATGTCTGTGGGATGATGCTCGCTACCTTCTCCAATAACCTTAATTTGCTAAAGAAAGAACAACGAAAAACTATTACTTCACTTATTTTACTTGTCTTTCCATTAAGATTGTATAAATAGAAAGAAGATTAGTTTAGTTTTCATCTAACCACATTGAAGTCTTTATTGATTGTTCGAAGAAAATGATCAGAAGGATTCCTCATTTGTGGGCATGGAAAGCCATTGGATGCAAAGAACTGTGTACATCACAATAGATAAATGATTTAGCAGAAATAAACAAGTACTCGACTGTCTACATATAGTGAAAGAATATTATCTCAATAACTCAAAGATCTTTTGTCATATTAGGATTATATTTTCTTCATAACTATTCTGTTTTGGCACTAATTGATCTAATAGAATATTAAAATTGAACAATTCGAAGCAAACTATATGTACAAAACGCAAAAATTTAAGCTATGCAAAGCTGTCAATCATTCAAACTTAACATACAACATTGCATTGGCTCAATGTTGAATTATTAACTTCATACCTCGCTAGTTAAAGAAATTGGGCCAAAATAGATTGTGTTTCCCGATGATAAAAGACACAAATTGTCAAATAGATCAAACACTTCAGAACTTGGCTGGTGAATGGAGGCAATGACAGTCCTTCCATGGCGACGTGCAAGGTCTGCTATCCGACTCATAACATGGTACGATGCTGCACTGTCCAATCCACTCGTGGGCTCATCAAGGAATAGTAGCTTTGGACGGGTCAACATCTCTATGCAAATGCTAAGTCGTCTCCTTTGCCCACCACTTATGCCTTTGCTACTTCGACCTCCAATTCTAGTATTCATAGCCTCTTGTAAGCCCATCTCCTTGATCACTGTATCTGCTCTCTCCCTCTTCTGAGCCTTGGATAATGAATTAGGAAGAAGTAGCTCTGCAGAATAATACAGGGCTTCTCTTACAGTTAAAGTTGTCATTAGAACATCATCCTGAGTGACATATGCCTACAAAAATCAAACACATATGTGTTATGTATTTTTCATGATTTGGAGACATTTAGTTTGCATGTCAAACATTTTGTATTTTTTCTTGAGAATTAATTAATTTGTAGTTCAAATGAGTTCTTACTGAAGTCCCATATGCAAGTGCTTGCTTTCGTCCATTTACTAAAATGAATCCAGATTGGCTCATACTTGACGCTAATCTACCTGCCATAAGTAGGTGAACATAGTTAGAAAGTATAATTTTGGAATAATTTTGTTTGATTTTAACTCAAGAAAATTTGTTATGTTGATGCTTAATGTCTTAGATTGTGAAAAACAGATAGAATATAGAATCAAAGGAAGAAGAGGTTCATGATTCAATAATTTGATCAGAGTTGAACTTGATGATATAATAAATATTAATTTTACTCAAATTTTGTCAAAAAAATTAAACATAATCATATTATCAAATATAGAGCATATATATTAGATAATTTGAATAATTGAATAATTATAAAATTAAAGACATTAAATATTTGAGTAATTAGCCTCTTTATTTGAGCAGCTAAATAACATAATTTAATAATATGCACACTTCTATTTTAAGTAGATATAAAAAAGAAAAAAATATATGTAAATATTCTAATTTTCTAAGAAAAACTAATTTATTAAATAATAACATATCATTCATTCATTTGATTTCTTTTAGAGTTACTTTTCTTGGTAAACTTAGGCTTCGTTTGGGATGGTTTTTTTACTGTTCTCATCAAAATGATTTTTTTAGTATTTAAATTTTTTAATTTAAAAAATTTTATACTAAAAAGCTACTTTAAAAAATAATAAGAAAATTGTCTTGAGAGAAATTATTTTGTGCGGATGCCGAATGCAGTCCGGAGACCAATCAAAATGAGCCACGTCGGTACCACGCTTCAATATTGCTTGGTACCGCTTGGTATTGCTCGGTACCACGCTCCGTATTGCTGACGTGTTTCATTCTAATTGGTCTCCGGATTTAGAGCTGCATTCGATTGTACGCACATAATACTTTCTCCCCAATTGAAGCCCTAATATCAGCAAAAAAATTGAGAAGTTTATATGAGGTAAATAATATTTATTTTTTTATGCTTAATTCCGGCAGCCAAAACAAAGCAAAGGTAAAGCTTTCCCAAAACGAGAGAAGAGCAAGTAGTAGAGTACAGGAATAAAAAATCCGATTATTTGGAATTCCAACTCTGAATCTGCTTTCTATAAATAGTTGTGGATGAATCCATCAAAGTGACCGATAAGAAGACGGTGTTTAGATGACAATGAAATTCATGTAATGAGGGATGGGGTGGTCGATGCGAGAAATTATTCTGTGTGGAATCTGGTTATAGAGTTGTGTTCGGATGCCAGTAAAATCATTATACATTGCGTGCTTACGTGGAAAGTTAGGATATTCATTTGACTTCTTACCCGACCCGTTTGTCTTTTCGGACTTACTTCGGACGAAGAGAAATCCGCAACAAATAAGCAGTAATTAAGCAGAAAATGCGTAACATATACACAACAAATACTCAATAAATACGAAACAAATACGTAATAAAATACTCAATCAATACGCATATTTTACGCAACGAATACGCAATAAATACTCAATCAATACGCAAGTCAAATAAATATGACGGACTTTTAACTTTCCACGTAAGCATCCGAACACAACTCTATAACTGGATTACGCACATAATAATTTCTCGATGGATGCGACCTTGCAAGAGGGGAACTGACACTCTTTAAAAAACCGACCAATTCGGTTCAATTTTTAAAACATTGAGTATATATAAATGCAGAACATTATATCCTTTTAATTTTTATAAATTTAAAAATTATGAAAATATTTATTGAAAAATGTTGAATAATATAATATTTATTTATATCTAACCAATAGAATAAATATTATAAAATTTTGATTCTTGTGAAAAAAAAGAAGATAGGACACATTTTTTATATTGGTAGAATTTTCAAGAATAAGTTTGGCACTCAACGAAAAATCAACTTATATTAAATCATTTGGGTGTCAGTGGATTAACCCTAGCAATCATAAACATTTCATCGCTACCTGACCATACTTTGCTCCCTCGCTAGCTGCAACCATTTTTTTGTGCGGATACGGATGGCGTTTGGAGGCGAATCAAAATGCGGCATGTCACTTATTTATTGTGTACCGCGGCTAGGTACCGCTGTGTTAGGGCTGCAAATGAACCGAGCCGAGTCGATTATGTGAGTGTTCATGTTTGTGTTCATTTAATATTAGCTTGTTCATGTTTGGTTCATGTTTGTTCGAGCTTTAGCGTTTGTGTTCATGTTTGGTTCATTTAAATTAAGGAGTGTTCATGTTCGGTTCATTTTCAGTTCATGTTCGTTCGTTTAGTGTTTATCGAGCTTGTTCGCGAGTATATTTAACAAATTTTTTTAACTATCAAACAAACACGTTCATGAAAATATCTATGAACAAACACATTTATAATAAAAGCAATTGTCTATGTAACAAAGGTAATGATTATTTATATTTATTTATTCTATAGTCAAATATTAATTATTTTTATCGAGCTTATTCACGAGTTCAAAATCGAACATGAATCGAGCTTTTTATCGAGCTTAATGTCGAGCTTATTCACGAACTTCAAATGATTTTGTTCGCGAACATAAATGAGCCGAACACATTAGCGTCCAAGTTTGTTTATTTAAGAATCGAGTATTTAAAATATTGTTTAAGTTTGTTAGTTTAGTTAATTAAACGATCGCAAACGAGCTTTAATCGAATCGAACAAAGAGTAGCTCGTCGAACGTTTGGTTCGCTTGCAGCCCTACGCTGTGTACTAGATGATGTGACGCGTTCTGATTCGCCTTCGGACAGTCTAGTATCCGCATCGAATAATTTCTCTCTCAACGAAAATTTATTATGTGCGGATAAGGACGGTGTCCTGAGGCAAATTAGAACGCGCAACGTCACTCGTTTGTTGTGTATCACGATTAGGCATTGCTATGTACCGGATGACATGGCAAGTACTAATTCGCCCCCAAACAATCTAATATACGCACAAAATAATTTCTCCTCCTCAACACTCTAACCTCCTTCATTGCTTGCAACAATTCCTTGATCACCTCCACGGCTGGTGACCTCATTTCCCACTCGTGGAGATGATTATAATATAGATTTTAATGAATTATTTATTTCTAATTTAACATAATATTATAGTATTTGCATTAATTAATTATTCATTATAGTATATTTATAATATAAATTAACCACCGAGTCCTTTATTTTTGTTTAATAAAACAATTTACACCAAGCAAATTATGAAGAAGCAATTTCATTCATTACAAATAAAATCCGATATTATAAATTAAATTCATAAATAATAATGATAATAATAATTTTATCTATAAATAAAATATTTAAATTTTTTTGTTTACGAAATGCTTCCCTATAGATCAGAACTTTCTACCAAAAACTTCTCTTCCAACTCCCCTTAATCTAAAGTAATAATAATAAATGTTCAAATAATAACCTGAAAGAGCATCAAGCAGGGTGGACTTGCCGCAACCGGATGGGCCCATGATTGCGAGGACCTCGCCGGGCCGGGCGTAACCCGTCAGGCCTGCAAGGATGGTGGTAGATTTGCTCTTGAAGCTCGAAGTTGTCACCCAAAGATCCTGCCATGTTAGATACACCCCTTTGGCTTCCTCCGACCCGCCCCTGGCCCAACTCTCTGACCTCGCCGGCCCTTCGACCTGCCCACCTCCGGCCTCCTCGTCTACAGCCTCCACCGCGAAGGAATAGCTCTCCGGTGACATACCTTAAAGTAATTAGCTTCTTAGGAATATTTAGCTTTAGAATTCCTTAGTGCTGTCCATTGTAGATTTATAGGCAGCCTGCATTGACTGCGAGTCTGCGAGCTTCCTCGTTTTACAATGCTTTGCGGCACTACAGAGAATTTTAAATTTATTTATTTTCTTATTTTGAAATATGTGACGTAATTATTAAATTTCTATAATTTAATCTTTTGGTGAAAAAATCATAATTTTAAAATAAAAAAAGTCGATAATTAGTTTATCCTATTTAAATATAATAACTAAGAAAAAATAGTAAATCCTTATCATTAATTTGATGTCTTATTGATGAACAATTATTACGTCATCTGACCGGACGTAGAGTTACGTTCGGCCGCCAATAACATGTCGCCACGTGCTATTACTCTTTACCGCGCGGCCCGACGACTTGACTCGGACCGGAACCCGGGAATGCTATGTTCGTGATTTTCTCAGTATTGCTCGGTATTGCTTTGCAAAAACGAGAAATACCGCTCTGTGAAAATCAATACCATGCAAATACCGAGCTGTACCGAGTTTTTCTACAACTCGGTACAACTCAGTATTTGCTCAGGATTTGCTCGGTATTGTTAGGGATTTGCTCGGTATTGCTAGGTATTTGCTCCGTATTGCTAGAAAAAACTAGGTACAACTCGGTACAACTCGGTATTTACTCGGTATTGCTAGGTATTTGCTCGGTATTGCTTGGTATTGGTTATTGCCGAGCAAAATCGACCAATACCGAGCAATACCAAGCAATTTTTGGTCCGTTCCGGGTCAGGTTGTCGAGGCGCGCGGTAAATAATGAAAATGCGTGGCGTGATTCTACTGGCGGCCGAACGTAGAGTTGCATATACGTTCACCGGACCAATTAAAAGTTCCTTATTGATAGCTTTCATTGATTTTCCTCTTCGAATTTCGAAAACACGTTTTTCTTTAGCAGCTGGAAGGTTTGTTAAGCAATGCAACCCTTGATTTTTATTGGTTCTTTTGAAGTTTGTCTTTCTTGGTAACTCAATTGACTCGACATTAATGAAGAACTTGAAAACGCTTTAATATTATGGTGAATCAAACCTGAACTTGTCAAATTTCAAATATCTCTCAATTTCTGAACTCTTATTATTATTGTTTATTTATAAAATAGTTTGTAAAGAGGCAGCTCGCTTTCATGTGTTGGTTGGGAGCTTTGGGTGTCAACTAAGTGGTATTGGGATAGCCAAGTGGTATTGGGTTCAAGTCTTACAAATATATTTTGTGTGTGAGTTCACCTTAATTGAATTAAATGTCGACAAAAAAAAAAAAAAGTTTGTATATTATATATTTTTTAAAAAATATAGCTTGTAGGTTAGTGATATGTGAAGTTAGAACATATTTCACGGCAAAAGCTTCATTTTGGACGGCTTTTGTGTGACGGCCCAGACATCTATAGTGAAAGGATTCATCGACATTCTTGTTTATTCTGATGGGTTTTACATTTTGGCCACTATTTTTTCTCAACTTTCAACAAATTTTTATACTTAAAAGCTGCTTTATATAGCAGTATGAAAGTTATCCCAAATAAAGCCTAAGACTACATCATGCTTGTAAATCTCAAATAAGCTATATCATACTTCCATTTTTTTTTTTTTTTCTATTACCTTATATAAGCACTCAACTTCTATCCCTAGTCTAATCTCTTTTCAAACTCTTTTTCTTCAATAACTTTCGCTATGCACGGAGATGAGCCTCTCACTGACAATCTCAACTTGGTCGGAGCTGGCCACCTTGTCATGAACTCAAGCTAGCTAAGGATTCATCGTTTTCATTTATCGGTGTTGAAGTTGGTTCTCTTTGATCAGTTTTGCATTGCTAGAATGTCCCACTTCTCATGCCTTGCTCACTCCCTCCTCATATCATTGTCTTCCCCACCTTCCCGTTGCTAAAAAAACATGGTATTTTTTTTTATGGGACATTAAGTCAATTAAGACAAATTCACACACACAACATATACACCAGACTCAAACCCAAGATCTCTTGATTAGTAGTCAAAATTCTCAACCAACAAACCAAGGTGACCCATATACATGCGGTATTTTTTGTAATTTAAAGAAAAATGATCAATTGAAGCTATCTATAAGACATTAAATTAATGATCCGGTTGAAGCCCTTGGCTAGGTTTATTGATTCCAGGCCAAATTATTAATAATATTATTTATCGATCAAATTTGATTGAAAAAAAATTGGTCAATTGATTGTTTTAAGAAACTTTCTCGACAATACACATTGGACTTCTTATCTTTGAACGTATCATATAAAAAGATATATATATATATATATATATATATATATATATATATATAAAGATGATATTTTTTTAAAATTTTAATAGTTTATGAACAGTAAGCTATTTCATGATAATTATGCAATTACCTTACAAGTCTAATTTTGCTATTATTAAATTCAAATAGAGAAGAAAATAAAATAAAATTCGGTACAAGTTCTCTCCAAATTCCACTTTCGGTATTTTTTTTAATTTAAATTAATTTATTATTCTCAAAAAATTTTCTCGTCATCAAAATTATATAAAAAAAAGGAGAATAACGTGCTTTGACAAGCCAGCCCTACGAGAATTATCCATATCCACACGTGTAAAGGAATGTTAGTTTTGCTTAGTCTGAACTAATTATCCATAGGTCATTTTCATTATATAACTATTTAAGTCCGTTTATAAGTCAAATAAATTAACTTTAATTCCGAACATTTCGGGCATGTTTTGTGACTTTTGTCTGATTGCAGAAAGGAAAATTACTTAACTAACAGAATTCCGTGAAGAAATAAAATACATCACTAATCTTTCAAAAAATAAAAAAACATCAAAATATAGTATTTAAAAATTAGAAATGTGACACTTTCTTGGAGGGGTGTCAATATTTGACCAAAACGGGTCGGGTTCGGATTCAAAAATTGGGTCGGGTTAGCTATTTGATCCGAAATTGACCCGAAAGTGACCCGATTTTGACCCGAAAACTCGATTTTGACCCAAGATTGAACCAATTTTAACCCGAAAGAGGAGATTGACTCATTTTAACCCGAAAATTATCAATTTTTTTTTGTTGGAAACGGGTCATTCGGGTCGTGTCGGGTTGACCCGGACCCGAAGAGGGTCGGGTTCAGGTTCGGAAAATAGACCTGTTTTTAAAAATGGATCGTGTTCGGGTTGACCCGAATAGTGCCGGGTCAGTTTCAGGTTCGACCCGAACCCGACCCGTAACCCGAAAATTTACTCCCCTACTTTCTTGTATGATAAATAATAAATTTATGTATAATTCTAATTTTTTAGATAAATTTAAATATCATGTGAAATTATATAGTAAAATAATAAAATCTTAAGCCATGTAAGAAATTCTTATATTGTTGGGTTTTATTACCCTTTCATGTTTTGGCTAAGTCTGAGAATAATTTTTTTATCATTTTTTATTTTCCAGATAGTAACTATATTTTTTTATTTGATCATTATTTTATCACTATTTTAACTAAATTGTTTTGCTAGCAAGTTATTTTCTATAGAAGTTTAAAATTTTATTTTCTCCTTAATAATTTTATAACCACTTATAAAAAGTTGTGATTGTTAACTCGGAATTAGGGGTGTCAATTCGGGTCGGCGGGTCGGATTCGGGTCGAACTCGAAACCCTACTCGTTTTTAAAAACGGGTCAGGTTTCTGGACCCGAACCCGACCCGATTCAGCTCCGGATTAACTCGACCCGACACGAATGACCCGAAGTTGACCTAAAATTGCTAATTTTCGGGTCAAAATCGGGTCAATATTCGATTTTCGGGTCAAAATCGGGCCAATATTCGATTTTCGGGTCAAAATTGGGTCAATATTGGGTTTTCGGGTCAAATATGAGTTTTCGTGTCACTTTCGGGTCAATTTTGGGTTACAGGGTCAACCCGAACCCGACCCGATTTTTAAAACGGGTTGATTTGTTAAACCCGACTCGACCTGTTTCAGGTTCGGGTTGACCCGAACCCGGATTTTTCAGGGTCGGGTTCGGGTCGTGTTTCGGTTTGTGTCAAAAAATTGACATCCCTACTCGGAATCTTCCTTTTCAAGGAGAAAGTCGGAAAAAAAAAACCTAAATTGTCCATAAAATACACACATTAAATAAGAAACATAATATATAGACTTCATGGATATAAGAGTCATATATTGACACATTTAAATTGTGAAGTTAACAAAATACATAATATATAGACTTCATAGATATTCCAAAACAGAAGTCTTTTAGAGATGAGAAAATAAAATTGATAAGTTTGGCTGTCGGTACGATAGGCGAAATGAAATGTCAATCCTGACCGAAGAAATCATAATAATAATAAAAAAAATTTCAACATTTTCTTTCATCAAACCACAAACGAGCTGAGTTAACCCGACTTGTGAATCGGCTTCGAACTCGATTCTATTAATGACTTGTGAATCAACCATGACAAACTTTCGAGCTGGCTAATTAAAAAAGATGAATATATAATGCACTAAAAATATATTAGAATTCAATAGTTCAAGGATAAAGTTGTTAAAAATATTTAAAACAATATATTATTTTATTTTTTAAATATCTAAAACGGATTAACAAGTTGGATTCAGATCATCAGGTTGCTAGTGAGTCAGGTTCTAGTTGATCTTTTTTACCCGCTTATTAAATTGGTTGGGTTCAGATTGATTGGATTTTGATCAGATCAATTTTGGGTTGGATTCAAACCTGACCCGTCAACCTGTTTTAACATCTTTAGTTGTACTCATCTGATAATTTAATGATTTATTATTTTCAAAATAATAATTTAAATAATTTTTAAGTTTTAAAGTTTTTTTTGTTCCAAAATAAAAGATAAATTTGATTTGCGTGACTGTCTGATAAAATATTTTTTATTTTTTGATGTGGTGCACGTTGGGCATAAATCTAAACCCTGATCTGTGTTCACATCATAACCTCCTCAATATATAGGGATAGCACCACGTGATG